GGATTCTCCCCTGAGTGCTCTCTGCCCAGCTCCCTCACGCACACTGCAGAGTGATGCCGGAGCCGGAATATGACGCCATTCCGCCTCTGGCATCAGTAAGTGGCGCGTGAAGGAGCTGAACAGGAGGATCTCAAGTGCTCCCTCGACGCCTGCAGGACCCCGTAGCAGCCCCACTGGACCCCAGGGAATCCCCTCAGCACTCCTGTTAGTGGGTTTGTCAGTAAATGTGTGTCTGTTAGCTAGTGTGTATGCATCTGTACGTGAGATTGTGTGTGTGTGTGTGTAGTTAAAACCCCTTCAGCACTTACCTTTTTCCAGCACCGGGCTCCTTCTCAGTTCCACATGCGCGGCAAGAGCCGTGTTCGCATTCAAACCGCCCATAGGAAAGCATTACTCAATGCTTTCCTATTGATGTCCTGCGGAAGCGCTGAAGCGCCTCTAGAGGCTGTCAGTGAGACGGCTACTAGAGGCTGGATTAACCCTCAGTGAAACATAGCAGTTTCTCTGAAACTGCTATGTTTTCAGCTGCAGGGTTAAAACTAGAGGGACCTGGCACCCAGACCACTTCATTGAGCTATAGTGGTCCTTTAAGTGTATGTGTATCTGCATGCACTGGCGTGCACACCGCGGTCGCAGGGGTCGCAGCCCTGCAACCAAGTGCCCGCCGCCATGTGTAGCACCGGGGCCCCATGGATCGTGTGTACGCCACTGCTCGGGAGCAAGCACAGGGCCTCCTAATGGTTTGTAAAAGCTGCATCTACTTGATACTGAAAATTTAAGTTTTACGGACTTTTTATTTTTGAGCTGTTTTACAAGTTGCCTAACATTTTTACTTATAGTAGTATTAATATTTAATCAAAAAAATAATAAAATTGATTGCGTTGGTGAGAGATTGTAACCGCAGCCGGTTCCCCTATTTTCCACTATAACGTGTTAAAGCATAGACCTTAGCAGGGCTAACCATAGTTATCTTACCCATAATATTATATCAGTAAGAGATCCTCTATTTAAAATATACAAATAATTTAGAAAACAAATATAAAATAAGGATTGTCTTGGAAGCAATAAATTTTTTTTTGTTTTTTATAGATATTTTATTAAATAAAAATATAAACATAGACATATAAAATACATTACAATAATTTATGGCAGTTTATAAGATTAAACTATATGCTTGCAATATCATTAAAATAGAATAACATACCCTCTTGAACATGTCAACATTTTTCAGTCATTATAATATGGAGCAACGTCTATGTCTCCAAATCTCTCCTCTTTTTTCATTTTTGGGTTACTGCCGTTCATATATAAAAAAGTAAAATCTCTTTTACTTTATTAACCTAAGGGTTACCACAGTTCATGTATGAAGAAGTAAAAGTTCTTTTACTTTTCATTAGAATTCATTATGATGAAGCATAGCCTTGAAGATGTTAATGCATTTCTTGTAATTGTATTAAGTGAAAACAAAAAGAACCACGCCGCATGTTATGCACTGAAAGTAGGTGAGGGGCTATTAATTAAAGAAACTTCGTATGAAAAACAATATGTTTAATTTCTTCGACAAAGTATACAGTTTAAGAAATACAACTTTTTATTCAAAAACTTGTAATGGTTGCATTTGCCCATAACAAGATACTTTAACAATTTCAGAAGAAAACGACTGCTTCAGAGATTTAATTTAAAGATCTGAAATTATCCAGAAGAAAAAATAAAATGCGAAGAAAGGAAAAAGAGGTAGCTTGAGACTTCTCCAAAAGAACAAGGCCTAACCCTAAATATCTAGGAGAAGGTGTATACAGGTGATACTCGAAAAATTAGAATATCGTGCAAAAGTTCATTTATTTCAGTAATGCAACGTAAAAGGGGAAACTAATATATGAGATAGATGCATTACATGCAAAGCAAGATAGTTCAAGCTGTGATTTGTCATAAGTGCATAGGCGTGCGCATGGGGTGTGCCGGGTGTGCCGGGGCACACCCTAATCCCCGCGGCACGCCTATGCATATTGAGACCGGCAGGGGAGATCTCAGGATCTCCCCTGTCGGCTCATGCAGAGCCGGCGCTATCCGAGCGCCGGCTCTGCTCTCAGCCTCCCTCCCCACAGACCCACATGCAGGGAGGGAGGCAGGAGAGGACCGGCGGAGCTATTGCCGGCAGCTCCGCCGGGTTCCTCTCGCGAGATATGAGCGTTGCCGCGGCAACCCTCAAATCTCGCGAGAGTGAACTCTAGCCCCACAGGGGGCTAGAGTTCACTCTCCACTGGACCACCAGGGATCACAGCAGCAAGGATCCCCTCCTCCACTGGACCACCAGGGAAGGAAGCAGCAGCACGATCCCCCCTCCCTACAAAAGGTAAGAAGGGAGGGGGGATAGCAAATAATGTACCCCCACCTCCACCCCCACAATCACCCACCCCCACAATCACCCACCCACATACAGCACACACCCACACACATACACAGCACCCACACAGCACCCACACATACAGCAGACATACACAGCACCCACACACATACAGCACCCACACACATACAGCACCCACACACATACAGCGCACACACACATACAGCGCACACACACATACAGCACCCACACACATACAGCACCCACACACACACATACACAGCACCCACACACACAGCACATACAGCAGACATGCACAGCACCCACACACACATACAGCTTACACACATACAAGCGCCCACACACACATGGCGCCCACACACATACAAGCGCCCACACACACATACAGCAGCACACACACACACACACATACAGCGCACACACATACAGCGCACACACATACAGCACCCACACACATACAGCACCCACACACACACAGCACCCACACACACACAGCACCCACACAAACACACACAGCACCCTCACAAACACACATCACACTAACAGTACCCTCACAAACACAAACAGGACCCTAACAAACACACACACAGCACACTACCAGTACCCTCACACACAAACAGCACCCTCACACACAGTACATTAACAGCACCCTCACAAGCGCACACACAAACGGCACCCTCACACACAGTACATTAACAGCATCCTCACAAGCATGCACACACAAACACCCTCACCCACATAGCACACTACCAGCATCGTCACACACACACACACACACATCACACTAACAGCACCCTCACACAACGCACACACACACACACACACACACACACAGCAGTGTGTGTGTATATACATACATACATATATATATGCGGCGTGTGCTTGTGCTTTAGGGTGCACACCCTAATGCAATAGGCTGCGCACGCCTATGCATAAGTGCGATGATTATGGCTTACAGCTCATGAAAACCCCAAATCCACAATCTCAGTAAATTATAATATTGTGAAAAGGTGCAATATTCTAGGCTCACAGTGTCCCACTCTAATCAGCTAAGTAAGCCATAACACCTGTAAATGGTATCTGAGCCTTTAAATGGTCTCTCAGTCTGGTTCAGTAGGAATCACAATAATGGGGAAGACTGCTAACCTGACAGTTGTGCAGAAAACCATCATTGACACCCTACATAAGGAGGGCAGGGGCGTACCTAGAGCACACCCCCTCAACTTTAAATGTCAAAAAACAACCAAAATTTGTTTTAATTTATTTAGAAATGAGCATTGTTTGTGTGTGAATGTATGCATGTTTTTGTATGGAGTATTTGTGAGTGAATGTAGGGGTGTGTTTGTATGTAGTGTTGGTGTTTGAATGCAAGCATGCATTTGTGTGTTGTGTGGTATTTGAATGCAGTGATGTGGTTATATATAATGGTGGGGTTTGTATGTATTGTTGACGTTGAAATGCATGAGTGTATTTGTGTGTAGTGTTGGCGAGATTTTGAGATGTCTGCACATATACACATACACGGACATACACACATGCAGATACATATACACACATGCAGAAACACTGTGCTCTGCATGCTGGCATCTGACAACACATTTGCATATAATTCACATTAGCCACCCAGATTTCTTGTTGTGGGCTGGCTGAAACTTCTTAACTTCGATCTTTGTTTAGCAGATAACTCCCCTATTTTCTATCCTTATGTGGGCTTGCAATAGTTAAGGACACCAAATAAGGGAACTATGTGCTAAACAGCCCCCTTATTTGGTATATTTAAATATGGAAAGCTCGTATATGGGCACCAATTCAGGGAATTATCTACTAAACAGCTAATGGATCAAAATTAAAAAAGCCCTTTTCTTATTTTCTGTTGTTTAGTAGATAAATCCCTTATTTGTTATCCTTATATTAGATTGCAATATTTACAGACACCAAATAAGGGAGCTATCTACTAAACACATACACAGAGATACACACAATCACACACATAATCACAGATATACACAAACACAATCACAGACTCACACACATACAATCACAGACACAAAATCACATACACATTACATACATACACACATTTAATAAATAAGAGGTCCACCCAGCCTCCCTACCTTGCTCTAGAAGGGCTGGAGTGGATCTTCAGTCCCTGGTGGTCAGTGGTTGCTGCTGGGATCTCTGTGCTCTTTCTGCACAGGTCCCTCGCATGCCCTGTAATGACGCAGAGGCCGCGATGACACCATATCCCGGCTGCTGTCTCACTGCAGGAAGAAGACCGTCATACACAGTCAGATGCACACAGTCACAGGCAGCCAGTCACACATACACACACACAGTCACAGACAGTCACACACACACACATGCACGCACGCAATCAATCACAGGCAGATAGTCACACAGGCAAATAGTCACACATACACACAGAGTCACAACAGTCACACACACACACAATCCCAGGCAGACAGTCACACACACACACACACAATCACAGGCAGACAGTCACACATACACACACAGTCACAGGCAGTCACACACACCATCACAGGCAGACTGTCTCTCACACTCACAGGCAGACAGTCACACACACAATCACATACAGTCACCAAATAAGGGAGCTATCTACTAAACACATACACAGAGATACACACAATCACTCACATAATCACAGATATACACAAACACAATCATAGGCAGGCAGTCACACATACACACACAATTACAGGCAGACAGTCACACATACACACACGCAGTCACAGACAGACAGTCACAGATAGACAGTCACACACACACACAGAGTCACACAGACAATCACAGGCAGACAGTCACTCACAGAGAGTCACACAATCACACACACACAGTCAAAGACAGTCACAATCACAGTTACACACAGCACACACTCTCTCTCACTCTCTCTCACTTACAGTAAGCTTGGGCTGGATTCAGTCCCTCCTGTGCTGTAGTTGAGGAAGCAGGGACTCCTTCCTGCTTCTCCTCTGTGTGATCAGAAAGAGGCTGCATTTAGCTCCGCCCCTACATCCATCTGGGCTCCGCCCCCACCGCCATTCTAGCTCCGCCCCCAACTATCTGTGCAGCCAGCTGAGCCAGGTCTCCTGCTCCTGTTCCCAGCCCCTGCTTGTGAGCTGTGTCGGCTGCCCGATGCCCCTGCTGCTATGGAGCCCGATGCAGCCACACAGCTCACAGACTCTCAAGCCTGGCCAGCCCTGGTGGCACCCCCCTGTCTGATCGCACCCGGGGTGGACTGCCACCCCCCCCCTCCCTTAGTATGCCATTGAAGCAAGGAAAGCCTCGAGAGGTAATTGTGAAGGAAGTTGGATGTTCCCAAAGTGCTGTATCAAAGCACATTAATGGAAAGTTATGTAGAAGGGAGAAGTGTGTAAGAAAAAGGTACACAAGCAGCAGAGATGACCGCAGCCTGGAGAGGATTGTCAGGAAAAGGTCATTCAAATGTGTTGGGGACTTTCACAAGGAGTGGACTGAGGCTGGAGTCAGTGCATCAAGAGCCACCACACACAGAGGGATCCTGGACGTGGGCTTTAGATCTCGTATTCCTCTTGTCAAGCCGCTCCTGAACATCAAACAACGTCAGAAGCATCTTACCTGGGCTAAAGAAACAGAAAGAAACAATGTGTGTGAACACCCACCACAGTGTAATAAGTGCTTAATTTATATCAACAGAAAGGAACTTTCCTGTATAGGATAAGATTTCCAATAGTATCCCAAAAGACTTCCTCTTGTCTTCCACACAACACAAGCAAAAAAAGGGGGGATGATCTGCTGAACCAATCATAAATAAAACAACATAGCGTATAACTGTGTATGATGACAAATTGTAGAAGTTATATTCACAAATGGTCACTCACACTTTTGCTGAAGTTTGCAAGCCTTGAATATTTTCCTTTTCAAAATAGGAATTCCAAATCCTCTGTCTGGGTTAAAATCTCCATAGATATATTGGCATGTATGTGCTCAGGAAAGAAATGTATATAAAAGAATATAAGATGCACATTCAGAGTGAAGTACAAAAAAGTATTTAATAACTTACATCAAGATATAAAATCATCAGTGTAATCCCTCTATGTCGCCACCAGGGGTCCTACGCGTTTCATCCAACCAAATAGGACTTCCTCAGGGACGTGTATGGTGTGTGATCAACAGGTACAAATAAACAATGAACAATAAAAATTTCCCTCCCTCCCCAGTTCTTATATATCCCTTCAGTGTCCACATAATGAGTGATCTTTTGCAGGTGTTTTCCCTTCAATGTCCACATAACGAGTGATCTTTTGCAGGTGTTTCTTTTCTGTTGTTAGTTGAGGGTTTCTGTCTTGTTGCTCACTGCTCAATCTCAGCCAGGCATATAATTATAGTTTGGTGGAAACAGGGAATAAGAGGAAGGGGTAGTAAATATTTCACTTTGCATCAAACAAACAATTGCTATGTTGTTTTATTTATGATTGGTTCAGCAGATCATCCCCCTTTTTTTGCCTGGGCTAAAGAAAAACAGAACTGGTCTGTTGCTCAGTGGTCCAAAGTCCTCTTTTCTGATGAGAGCAACTTTTGCATCTCATTTGGAAACCAAGGACCCAGAGTCTGGAGGAAGAATGGAGAGGCACACACTGCAAGATGCTTGAAATCCAGTGTGAAGTTTCCACAGTCTGTGTTGATTTGGGGAGCCATGTAATCTGCTGGTGTTAGTCCACTGTGCTTCATTAAGTCCAGGGTCAACGCAGCCATCTACCAGGAGATTTTGGAGCATTTCATGCTTCCTTCCGCAGACAGGCTTTATGGGGATGCTGACTTCATTTTCCAGCACCTGCCCACACTGCCAAAAGCACCAAAGCCTGGTTCAATGACCGTGGGATTACTGTGCTTGATTGGCCAGCAAACTCGTCTAACCTGAACCCCATGGAGAAAGATGCCAAGAGAAAGATGAGAGACATGAGACCGAACAATGCAGAAGAGCTGAAGGGTGCTACTGAAGCATCCTGGTCTTCCATAACACCTCAGCAGTGCTACATGCTGATAGCTTCCATGCCGCGCCGCATTGAGGCAGTAATTGCTGCAAAAGGAGCCCAAACCAAGTACTGAGTCCATATGCATGCTTATACTTTTCAGAGGTCCGATATTGTTCTATGTACACTCCTTGTTTTATTGATTGCATGCAGGGCCGGTGCAAAGAATTTTGGGTACATAGGCGAAGATGCATTTTTCCGCCCCCCCAAAAACATCTTCACCCATGTGCCTCTTAACCTCCCTTTTGTGTTTCTTATCCCGTCTTTTAAATATCTGACTCCCTTTGCCTTTGTGTGTCTCCTATCTCTCCTCTTTGTATGACTCTTACATCCTCCCACATTTTGTGTCTTACTCCTCCCAGCCCCTTTGTGTGACTCCTTTTCTCCCAGCCCCTTTGTCTCTTTCCTTCTCAAGCCCCGGTGTGTGTTTCTTTCACATCCGGCCCCTCTCCCTGTCCCTTAATGGTCCCCTCCCTTCTCTGACCCTTACTGTTCCTCTCCCCTCTCCCTTCCTTTTCCTATTCCTCAGTGTTCCTTTCCCTTCCCCCCTCCTTTCCATGTCCCTTAGTGTTCCTCTCCCCTCCCCCCTCTGTTCCCTGTCGCTTAGTGTTCCTCTCCCCCCTCCCTCCTTTTCCTGTACCTTAGGGTATCCTCTCCCCTCCTCTCCCTGTCCCTTGGTGCGCCACCCACCCCCATAGTGGTCCCCTCCCCTTCCTGGTGTGCCTCCTACCTTTCTTGTAGCGTGGCTGAGCGGAGCGAATCCCGGTACAGTGAGCTTTTCCTGTCAGTCCTGCCAGGTACAGGAAACAGAAGTTCCTGTACCACGGTACACTCCGCTTGGCCACGCTACAGTCAGGGGTGTATAAACACTGACAGTCACACACACTCAGTGACAAACACACAGACATCTCTGACAGCCAGACTCACTTATCTGACACACTCATTCATTGACAGACACTCACACGCACACTGACAGGCACACAAACACTGACAGACTCATTGGCAAACACACACTGACACACACACACACACAATCTCACAGACACTGACAGACACGTACTCACATGCACACATGCACATACTGACAGACACACTCACACACACTGACAGACACACATACTCACACACACACTGACAGACACACTCACTCACACACACTGACAGACACACTCACTCACACACACACTGACAGACACACATACTCACACACACACTGACAGACACACTCACTCACACACATACACTGACAGAACCACACAAACTCACATGCACACACACTCACAGTAATTAATAATTTAAATTAAGTTAACATTTCCCACCCAGCCTCTCTAACTGGAGAGCTGGCGTGGGTCTCTCATTGGTGGTCCAGTGGGGCTGCTGGGAGGCGTGCGGCTGAATTGGATGCCGAGGTGGCGAGGGAGCTCTGATCTCTCTGATCTGCTCCCTCGCAGGCTGTTTACTGATGCCGCGGGAGCCGGAATATGACGTCATCAGTAAACAGCCTGCGAGGGAGCAGACCAGAGAGATCAGAGCTCCCTCGCCACCTCGGCATCCAATTCAGCCGCACGTCGCGTCGGGGATCCAGGAGGTGACCTGGCAGGAGGGAGCACTTCCCTCCTGCCGGTCACTGGAATTTTGCGCCCCCAGTGCCGGTGCGCCCTTATGGACGCGGCGGCCCTGATTGCATGTAATATTCTAATTTGCCGAGATTGTGGATTTGGGGTTTTCATGAGCTGTAAGCCTTAATCATCAAACTTGTGACAAATCACGGCTTGAATTATCTTGCTTTGCATGTAATGTGTCTATCTCATATATTAGTTTCCCCTTTTACGTTTCATTACTGAAATAAATGAACTTTTGCACGATATTAAAATTTTTCGAGTATCGCCTGTATCGTGTGATCCCCAATAAAGGGGATCTGACTGGAGAATCCCTGATTATATGCCTCAATATGCTTAAAGGGACACTATAGTCACCCAGACCACTTCAGCTCAATGAAGTGGTCTGGGTGTCAGGTCCCTCAGGTTTTAACCCTTCACATGTAAACATAGCATTTTCAGAGAAACTGCTATGTTTACATTTCAGGATTAATCCAACCTCTAGTGGCTGTCTTCCTGACAGCCGCTAGAGGCGCTTCTTTGACGCTGGATGCGAAATTTGCATCCTGCATGCAGAACGTCCATAGGAAAGCATTGAGAAATGCTTTCCTATGGACTGTTAGAATGCGAGCGCAGCTCTTGCTGCACGTGCGCATTCCGCTCCACTTGGTAGCTGACATCGGCGGGGGGGGGAGGTCACCAGCACAGATGGAACACGGTGCTGGATTAAGGTAAATAACTGGGAGGGGGACGCTGAGGGTGAGGGTCCGCCAAGGATGACATAGTGTCAGATAAATGTTTTTTTTTCCCCTGACACTAGAGTCATCCTTTAATAATAAATATGCTCTAATATAAGTGTTATGTACATCCCTGTGAAAATACTGAATTCATTTGTATTATATCAATACATGCAAAATTGAAAATGAAGAAGCAACCACTTTGCACAAATTTTAGCCTATCTTGGGAGTATCCTTTATTAAAGTATCTGTGGGATGGGAATCTCAACTAAACTAGTCATTTAACAGGGATCAACATATAAGTAGTAATTCATATAAGGTGTATATTCCATGCACAAATGGACATTTAAATCAAAATGGTTATTAGCATGTCTCCTATTAGCAATTTGGCCACATGAATTTAACATAGTGATCAACGAATAAAATGTGCATGGAGATGTTGAACTTTTCCCATATAGATGCATTGAT